ATTACTACCAACAAAAATCGTAAGTAAGCTAATTAACAACTCCACRTGTGCTGCAATGATCACTTTTTATAAATTTCTATAAAATTCATATTTCCAAAGAAAGTTTTTCCTTTTCATAATTATCAAAGTGTTTATTCAAGTCAACTGGCAGTAATTCTCAATTTCTCAATCCCATTAGRTCTTAAAACAATGCATGTTTTCCCTAGGAACTTGCCACTCATTGCTGAAATATCCTTTGAGATGGGTACATGGTTGTCAATAAAGGCAGGTGCTAGAAGATATTAAGTTGGACTTTGGGAGAAGATACTGCAGATATGTTTGCATGTTGGTGATTGGGAATTTCAGCAGTCCAAGAGGACATAGTCACACTAGTTTTTGTTTGACACAGAGGAGGATTATTTTCCTTTGCCTTGGTCTGGTGTCATCCTAGGGATGGGGAAGTAGGGCAAGAGTGGACTGATGTTCCTATGTGTGTAAAATATGCATTTATAGATACAGTCCTCACAAATGAATGCCCAATGATGACCCACCACAGAACTGCTTTTAGCTTATTTATCTGCATCCCAAGATATGGGGCGTTGGGGGAATAGGATAGATACAGTAAAAAATGTGAGTAGGAGTCTCCAAATGGAGTAATTTTTGATGTGTGGTATATACTTTTCTGTATTTTGTTATGCTCATTTATTCTTTTCTATTCATAATAATAAATTTCATCCATATGAAATCCAAATATGTAGTCTACTACATGAGAATGAGGGGTATATTATTAAGTGGGCCTTAATCCAATAAGTAGTGTTCTTGCTGAAGCTATTAGAAATATCAGATTTTTGTTAGTCCAGTATTCCAGTGTTCTAAATAAAATAATATGCATGAATCCCTGAATAGAACCTTAGTGAAATGGAAGAATAGTTTCGGTTAGATTTCTATTAACATAAGAAATAGCCAAGGCAAATCAACTTAAAAGGGGGAAGGTTTATTTTGGCTCACAGTTTCAGTCCATGGTCAGTACCCTCTGTTACTTTTGGGTCAGTGTTGAGGCAGAACATCCGGGTAGGGAGTGTATTGTAGAGAAAGCTGCCAAGTAGTAAAAAGAGAGAGGAATGTCCCATATTCCCCTTTGGAGGGCACACTTCTTCTGACCTAAGGGTTCCTCCAACCTTCCAACAGCCCTAAGCTGAGGATGAACTCTTTAACACCTGGGCCTTTAGGGGACATTGCACATACAAACTATAGCAATTAACTTATGCTCAACAGGTGAATTTAAGTAGCAAGGTATTTTTTTTCATATTAAAAACCCTAAATATCTTTAATTCTTCTCAGGCTCACTCTAGCCACCTACTCTTATTATTCTTTTATATTTTTAAACTATCTCAATGTGATCAAACTAAAACATTAATATTTACACATATACATATGTGTATAGATTCTTAATTTTAGGAGTTGTAGGAAACCTCTACAAGTATTTCCTAGTTTTAGACTTTGAGACTGAGTGATATTTGTTTGTGGTGATGTTTGTGCTGATGGTGATGGTGAAGCACAGCTCCCTTGTGAACTAAAGCTAATGAATTTATCTGATTCATCTCTTTAGACCTCATCAGCTCTGTGTCCTATGTATAGTCCTTTGATAATGAGACCTTGGAAGTGCCACATTGGTTCAGAAAGCTAGTTCAACTAGTTTCACATTTTAATTTGAGAACGATTCTACTAATAGTTGACCTTTATGATTATCAACTATGAAGCATAGGCTAGGGAACTGTATATGTTAAAATCTATCATTTATGAGTGAATCTGCATTTTATCTACTTACACTTCTACTCTGAATTACTTCCCTGAGTTATGACATTCTTATGTTAACTGTCTATCTGCTTTGAGTTTTTATTTTTGCTTTTGTTTCTTCCTCAAAATTGCAACTTTATATCTGTGGGGAATGTGTTCTGTTTTTTTTTTTTTTTTCATGTCCAAAGATTTTATAAGTGTTAGTTTATCTAGGTGAAGACACTGTGATTTGAAAGAGAAGGTCATTTCTCTGGAAAGAAGGCCAGCTATCTAGCTCAATAAGTTTAATGGCGTTTAAAACAATTTTAACAACCTCATAAAGAACATTCTAGTACCATTGATCACACTGAAAGATACAGCTACATTTTAATGACTGAACAGGGTCCACTTGAATTGAAAGCCCATTCTAAAATTGTTAAAAGCCCATTCTAAAAAGTTAAAAAAAGTAAAAACATCTCTGTAAACCTTACCAAAAAGCTCTGAATAGTTCTTTCTATGAACAATAATCATCTGTATCCCTACCCATTAATTCAGGTCATTAAAATGCTTTAAAAGACTTTARTGTTTTTTTCCTTTATAGAAATCACTTAGCTGTGGTATGTCATACTGTGCTCTGGATAGGTGTTTGTATTTCTTTTTAGAAATTGACTTTTCTTATCTTCATTGACTTTGGTAATGTTTTTGTAAGACTTCTCTCTACTTCCTTTTGGACAAAGTCCTTCCCCAGGGGCCACATCCTATTCATATGCCTAGTTTGATTCAGGTTTATCTCTTAATTTCTGTTCACTGAAAAAATAAAGAAAACAATAATTTGATCTGGTGGTTTTTCAAAGTCAAGAGATTTCAGAGAAGGAAATKCCCTAAAATTTGTGGAATTACTTGGTGTCTTTGAAATATTCTCTTCAAAGCAGAGATTTTTCCAATTCAWCTTTGTTAATGAAAAATTTGCTTGTCCAATAATCATACTGAGATGAGCTTATGCTCATCTAAAGAATAAAAGCTATTCTACCAAGTAAAAATTTACAGAAGTAATCTCACACATACTTACTTTATTTTCAAAAGCTAAATGTTTAAATAAAAAATGTTGCCTATATTTAACTTGATGAAAAAATCTGAATAAATAGCTCCTTCTTATAAAATACATTTATAAAATTCAGGTGTATTTGAAATTTAACCCATTTCAGATTGCCTATGTTTAAATCCTTGCCCTGCCATGTACTAGTTGTATGGTTTGAGGCACATCTCTTAACCTCATCTGGAAGGAAATAGTATCTGTCTCATTGCATTTTTTTAATATTTATTTTTTAGTTATACGTGGACACGATATCTTTATTTTATTCTTATGTGGTGCTGAGGCTCAAACCCAGGGCCTCACACATGCTAGGTGAGCGCTCTACCTCTGAGCCAGAACCCCAGCCCTCATTGCATTTTGTGTTAATTAAATGCAGACTGACACATAGCAGTAACTCAGTAAATGCTGTCATCATTATCAGTTTAACTTACCTAATTATAAAACAGAAATACACACTGTCRTGCATTTTATGTAAACCCCCAATTGGGTCCTTTTTTGAAACTGTGGAGAAAGGTTATTTCAAATTTAATTGACTTTAGATTTTTAAAAGAATCTTTTTGTCTAGGATCTTAATAATCAATATAATTGGGAGTGTCAAGAAATCTATTAAGTCTTGGAAGAGTAGACATTAGGAATTGATGTACTGATTCATCTTTTTACTCTGAGCTAGTGAACCAGAGGATCATGGGCTACAGAAGAGCTTGTTCCTTTAGGCCACTTTCTCTCTGACAGCAGTGTCTCCTTTGTTTTAAAGGTTCGCTGGGGTGATAAAGGATCTACTGAGGAAGGTGCAAGGTTAGAGAAAGCCAAAAATGCTGTGGTGAAGATTCCTGAAGAAGAGGAACCTGTCAGGCCTAGGCCACCTAGACCCAAACCCACTTACCAGCCACCACAGACAAAGTGGTACGCGCCCATTAAGGTATGAATCCTAATTTTGTGTAATTGAACTTAAGTCTCCTAGAGAAACTAAAGCTTTTACAGTCCCCCATCATTTGAAGAAGGCCTATGGTGGATCATGTAGCAGCTTGATCATTGTAAAATGAGTATTCATTTTACACTCTAACAACCAAACACTTTCTCAGCATAAGAACCTCCGAGATTCTGTTTGTTTAATTTGTGAGAAAAAAATGAAAGTAGAGAATAAGACTTTACCTTCTTTGCTTTACTTTTTCACTTTTTCAGTAAATAGAATAACATCGCATTTTCTTTAGGGTCCTCTTGATGCACTCTGGGCTTTGTTGCGGCGGCAGTATGACCGGGTTTCCTTGATGCGACCTCAGGAAGGAGATGAGGTTTGTATAGGGGAATGTGCTGGGAAACAGTTGACTGCTGTACCAGGATAATGGAAGTACTGGAATATTCTGCGGAATTAATGTTAAAGCCCTTATTCCATGCAAGGAAGGGGTTAGCATTGCCTAGAACAGATTTCCTTTATATAGGCTGCTTAACAGGTAACTGTTAGAGCACATCTCCCATCTACAGGCTCACACCAGTCCCTTTTCAAGTAATTCACAATAACTGTGATCATTTGAATGCATACTTATGCCTTTGAAGACATCATTTCTGAGTTTTTTATCTGGTGGGAACAACAGACTGGGAATGAGTAACTGAGGATTTTCTTTAGCATGTAGTAGCAATGAGACCTACAGAAAATATCTCAACCACAGTTTCTTTAATAAATAAGTTCTTTGTAAGGGAGAGTATCTCTAAAGCAGTGTAAAAATCTGTACTAGTGATACATGGGTACAGGCACACACAGGTATATATACATATGTATTTTTAAGTCTTTTTTTAATATTGAAAATTTAGCTAGAATTACCCTAGTTTTAGAATTTCTTTAATAATTTACACTATTTCCTATTGTATCAATGTAAGAAAATTTCTCCCTAACATCTTCATATATAATAATGGTTGGGTTTCTTTGAGAAACACAATAATGTTCATAATTTTTTTTAAAGAAAGAGAGAGAGAGAGAGAGAGAGAGAGAGAGAGAGAGAGAGAGAATTTTTTAATATTTATTTTTCAATTTTCGGTGGACACAACATCTTCATTTTATTTTTTTATGTGGTGCTGAGGATCGAACCCAGCACCCCGCGCATGCCAAGCGAGCACATTACTGCTTCAGCCATATCCCCAGCCCAATTCACTATGATTCTTAATAGAAACTTTTATATAATGAGATTTCATGCCTTCGTTTAAATTCGTGTGTGATCTGGAGTCATGCAACATATAATAATTTMTCTTCCTCTATAACATGTTAGACTTTTACTTTAAATATTTTGCTTTAAATATTGTTCATGCATCATCTTAGTTTTCTTTCCTGGGATTAGAAACTGTCTCATTTGTTCAGTGATTTTCACCCTATGAAGTGCTAGCCTATGTTGAGCTAGCCCTGGAGATAAAACTAGCAGCCCTCCCAACTATCTTGCCGGAACTTTATATGTTCTTTGAACTATCATGAGTAAAATTTAGTTAGTCTTTCATCATTCATACTAATTTTGATAATTTTTTATACATTTTTAATAAATTTTGATAATTTTTAGTTTTGATAATTTTTGAGTTATAAATAGGCATAAATAATGGCATTAGATAAAAAATGAGGGGCATGGTGCAGAATCGCCTTTRCTCTTAAGAAATCTAAAATTTGTTTGGAAAACAAGACATGCACAAAAATAAGATTTACATTGGAATTTATATTTATATTGTATTTATATTTAAGTATATTGGACATACTGTAGTAGAAGAGATCAACTCTCCTGGAAAGATTAGATAAAGCTTCTTTATAAATATAGGTTTCCTGTCTTAGAAAATAGGTAGTTTTCAACAGGTAGAGATTGGTCACTGAGGCAGCTAAGTACCTAGGGAGTGGTGGCTTGCTAGATAGTCTCAGGGTTGGAGGTTAAAATCAGAAAGATTAGTTGGAAATAGAGGAAAGTTTTGAATTTGGATAAATTGGCATATTTGCTTTTTAAAATCATGCACTATAATCATTCATTCATTCAACAAATATTTATCCTGTGCCTAACATGTACCAGGCACTTTGTTAGACACAAGATAAATTTAGCTTTCTTCTTATAGAATATTCCACWTGTTGCCCCAGCATGTTGCTATTTATTTTTCTATAACTGATGAGTAATGCTTCCATTTCTATTAGTTTAAATATTTCTTTCTTTTGTTTTTCAGCATTTTGTTTGTGCTTTTTATTTATGATGATTTCAAAGACTTTTATTCTAAACATTGAGGTCAAATTATTTCAAATTCAAAAATTTTTAGATTTTAGGAGTCTGATATAGTCTATATCATATATAAAACAACATTTCATAATCACATTATTTAGGCATTTTGCTATAATATATTAATTATATTAGTTATTACAAGTGGAAAAAATAAAGACTAAAGTTTTTCTCAGGTTTTGCTTTGAAGTGTATTTTGGTGAGAAACTTAGGACAAAACTCTCAGTTTTCAAAGAGTTTGAATTTCAAAATTTTAATTAAAAGAGAGAAGATCTCAATATGTGAGATGAAATAAAATCTCACTACCAGTATGCTATTTATGTTTTCTGTTTTTTGTTTTTTTTACTTAAAATGTGGGATAATAACCTCAGTAAACCTCAATTATTGGTTCAATTAATGAACTCATTTTCTTCATCAAATATGTATTATGATTCTAAATGTGCCTGATGCAGTTTGACTTAACTTTTTATCATCATACCTCTTCTTTTTAGCTTTACTGGTTCCAGTATTTTGTCACCTGAAAATTTTTGTCACTTATATTGAGCCACTGTTAAAACTGCAGTGTGGCACTTTTCCCCTCAAGTGAGGCACACCACAGTTAATTGACATTATGGTAAAGCTGAAAAACCATCCAACAGTACAACCTCAGTTAACTACATTATTCACAAGATATTTAATATGTATTTTTAAATTCCTTGCTGACTATAAGGTATATTTATCTACTCCCCCATATAACCTAACTGATAATACAACATGATTTGTTCAGAACATCTGGTGAGCTTGGCATGATTTGTTCTTGTGCTCCTTTATAACATTTACTTATTTAGTCTGAGGTTTTATGTCAAATGTATAGTTATGAGAATATAATTGCTCCCTTTTAAACAACTTGAGAAAATTTTGCCCCTCTCTTTTTATTTTCCATATTTTCACTTTCTATGTTTCAAAAAATTATTAAGACTATCTGAATTTATGTCAACTCCACATCATCAATCCAGTCTTCTTTGTTTGATAGGTAATTTCAAATCACCTATCCCACACACATACATAACTATAACCTGTATTTTTCGAAAGAGTAAGCCATAGAGTAACACACTAAGGGTCAGTTCAGTGCTTCAGTGGAGTCCCTTTCTATACATTATTAGGAAAACTGAAGGATTCCAACATTTTACATATGTTTACATTAAGTGTTAGGAAGTCATCATACTCTTTTCTTCTCCAGGAATCTGGAATGGTTTCTTCCCTCCCTTCTCTTTCTTCTTCCCTTCTTTTYCCCGCCTCTGTTTCTTCCTGAATACATTTATATTCACAATCTTTTCATTTTCAATTTTGCTAGTTTGTTCTAGCAGTTTATAATATTCTTAAATATTACACTAATTTTCAGTCAACTTCTTTGAATGAATGGAGCCTTTAATTGTCCTGTTCTTATGCTGATKAGCACAAGTGAATACCTTTATGGACAAAGGCCACCAAGTGACTATAATATGGTTCCAAAGAGAATCTTTACCAATCAGGTCACTTAATCATGGTAATATTTCAGTGGATTTTATTTAAAAGTCTGTATAGTAACAGAAATACAACATATTATTTTTATCCCAGAAAGTTATATTTAATTATTTGTTTAAATAAAATCATAGTGTATGGTGCAGTGACATAATCTCTACCTGAGAATCTAACACCCCACCTGGTTTGTTTTTATTTCCTTTTTGTTTTTCCCCTTGTGGTCCTAGGAATTGAACCCAGGGCCTTTAACATGATAGACAAGTGCTCTACCACTGATGTACACTCCAGCCCAAATTTTATTTTTATTTTATATTAAAAAAGCATATAATATTGCTTAAATTCCAGTTTTTTTTTTTAACTTTAAAGAAGCTTTTGTTTGGGGAACTTAATTTACCTAGGAAGAAAATGATGCCCCAGAGCCAGGAAGAGTACTAGGGATTTAGAATATATTTAGGACAGCTAATTTTGATGCATGATACTAAAATGTGATAATTCATTTTTTTTAAAATATCTTCATTTATTTTTATGTGGTGCTGAGGATCTAACCCAGTGCCTCATGTGTGCAAGGCAAGTGCTCTACCGCTGAGCCCCAGCCCCAACGCCAGATAATTCATTTTAATAATGCTTTATCTATACATGAAAAGAAATGGCTCACTGTTGCCTTCTAATTATTATGGTTAAATTCCCAAAAGGCCTTTATAAAACCTTATGTTTTTTTTTTTTACCAATTTTAATTTTAGCTTATATAGACATAATTTATTTCATAGGATTACACGAAGCTGAGAAAAGTAAAAATTAGGGCACTAAGATGTCCGACTAGTAGTATCGTACTTACATCTTTGGCTGTTCTTTAACCATATATCCATCTACCTTTATATTTGCTTGAAGAAAGGAAAAAATTAATTGAGTTCAAAATTGTGTGTGTGTGTGTGTGTGTGTGTGTGTGTGTGTGTGTGTGTGTAAGTATGCCAAGGCATAATCACTGAATGAGAAAAATTAGGCTTGGAGTTCTTTTGTTACCTTTAGATAACCATACTTATCTGTGAATGGGCTCCATAATCCTGCTATTTGCAAACTGATCTACCTCTCAATACTTGATGAAACCAGTTAGAGGACAAACTCAGACTTATTGATGAAAGATTTCTTATATATGAGATGCTCCTTGTCCTTTGCTTATTAATTTGTATTAACAAACTGATTTCCCTGTAAATTAGCCTATTAATGATTAGGGAATTTGTAAATAGCATTGTGTCAGATTACATACATTGAATTCCTTAGAACAGGTTTGTCTATGCATCAAGTATTTCATTGGAACAAATGTGATGAGCTATTAAGGCCAATTCTTTTTTAAAAGAAACTTTATTATCAACATAAACTGATGAATATATTTTGTAAATATTTTTTCCTGTTTCTTGTGTTCATAAAGGATTTGGTGTGTCCATATATACATGTATAATGTTTATCTTGAATTATGCCTCTCATGAAGTATTTGTGCAGATTTAGGAGTTGTGTGCTTATTACAAAGCAATTTGTACACTATAAAAATTTWAAAAAAAGAC